GAAAACAGGGATATGATGGAACAGGAAGGATAATGATGTAGTAGAAGTTTATATTGATAAAAATGATGACAATGACAAATAAGACGAAGAAGGAATAAAAGATGTCAATGATAATATCATTATAAAAATAAGTAAGATGATAATGACTACAAATAATAAACGAAGAATATCATGATAATAATGATAATGATTATAAAGGGGAAGATACAACGTGGAAAAATTAAAAGAAGAAACCTGAGAGAAAAAGAATTAAAAAAAAACAAAAACAAAAACAAAAACAAAATGAGGCGTATGTATGCTGTTTTGAATGTAGTGCACTTGTTTAAATTCATTCTGCCGGAGCAGAAAAGAATATGTATGAAGGCAGATGCCTTCCAACTCGACAATCGATATCAGAAGAAAAGACAGGAAAGAAATAAAGAAAGAGTCGGGAGATCAAAGACACCGTTAGGATTCAAAACAAATTAAAAATACCTCCATTAAATGCTTTAATACTTCCAACAGCAGCATCAATAAAGAGAACTGAGGTAAAGATGAGTGCGGTATACCATAAAGAAAAGTTTAAAAAAAATAAAAAAAGTTTTTAAAAAAATAGAAAAGAGAAAATTGCACCTTGCGTACTCGGGGAAAATGTTGACAAATTTATTAGAAAGTGTAAAAGTTACTTATATTTCTGATTTTTTTTCTATTCTTTTTGATGTATCCTTGTAATATACTTTATATCCCTATAATATATATATATATATATATATATATATATATATATATATATATATATATATATATATATCCCTATAATATGTTTTATATCCTGATAATTTATACATGTATATCCCTATAATACGTTTTAAATTTGTTGTCTTTAATTACTGTTTTGTTTTCCGAAGAACTTTTATATATTATCATTTTCTCAATCATTTGGAACAATCGCTTTGAATTATTTTTTTCAAAAATGATAGAGAAATATTCGGTTAAAAATCAATATCTGTATAGATACCTATAACAATCATTGATATTTACATTTGAGTGTTTATATGTAAATACAACCTGTATAGATGTAATTACCAGTTACGCTTAAATGGAATACTAATTTAAGCTATAAATCAATTCTCTCTCATCAGCCAATCTGAATCTCAGGAAATGTGAAAGTTAGAATTCATTACTTTTTCCTTTGCTTATTTTATCAGTCTGGTATTGATAACGTGTTTTAATAGAATGTATGGTCATTAACAAGATGAAACGCCCAAGATGAGTGCTATTAATTGAAGATGTCAAAACAAAAGTACAAAAATGTATCTATCTGGAATGTGTTTTATTAGGGAATGAAAAATATGAAGGCAAGTGGGATACTGAAAGATGTTTTCCAGAAGCTAAACAAAGTATTAAGAAACAGGATAATTTCGTTAGAAACAAAGAAGAGTGATGAACTGCCATGTAATATCAAATTCGGATTTATCCAGCTGTATACTCTATGAAAAATGGCTTCGAGAGAATTAATCTTGTAGGTATTAGCGAGAATCATATTTCTTCGAACCTTACGGACTGGCTTTACAGAATCATAAATGCTTGTACCTGATCACAGAAATCATATCACGAGATGGTTTTCGACAGCAACGACTAAAATGGATAGTGTATGTAACATGAAGAGAAAACAATAACATAAGGTGTTAATTTTCCACACAACTTCAAAAGAAATGTTAGGGAGCCCCCATCAATACTGGAAATAAGTGTGACAGTTACAGGACGTAAGAGATTTATTTTCCTAAATGACTGTATAAATTTTAACAGAATGTAGCATTTACTGCTCATCTAATGAACGACGAATATTTTTAATGTAACCCTAACCATTAAAGATGTTGATTTACTCGTCCCCTACGATGATGGGATATGGAACAAGGCTGGTTTAAAGTGGGGACCCTAAGCGCGTGCACAAGGCCAAAAATTACCCAGTCTTCACAACCAATGTTGCGCTGGCGTCGATATTCTACCGATCCTCACCTCAAGTTCACTAGGTAGATTGCACGACTTTTTCCTCTGTCCCTTTTACATACAATCTGTTCTTTGAGTATCATATTTTAAAATCCCACTTTCCTCATTATATAGCACAGAAATTTCAACTGTCTCTTCCTGATGTTAAGTATAAATGTCTTTTTTGTTGTCATTGTCTTCGTCGTTGAACACGTGTTCAGTTCGGTAGAAACACAGTTTTGTCTCTTCTCCATTTGCGAGGAGATTATCCAGCATTTAAAGCCATGGAGGAGGAGTAATACTACATAACATTTCAGTACTCTTTGTCTTTATTTCTAACGGCATTTTTCTGTCTCTTAATACATTACTCAGCTTTTGGAAGGCAGCTTTTGCTATCCCAATGAATCTTCGGATTTCCGTGCCGCACTTTCAGTCCTCAGTTAATACGCTTCACTGATATCTAAATTGTAGTTTTATTTCGGTATTTGCAATCTGTAAATTACCCATAAAAATTTCCATACCATTCAAACAT